ATTGCTGTCGAATTTCAAGGGCTTTTTCATGGCATGAAAGTGCTTTTTGGTGATTATCCAGTTTACCATGCACTGAACCAATGTTATTGTAAGAATGAGCCAAATACGTATAATTGGGAGAAAGTGATTGTTGTTGAATTTTAAGACCTTTTTTATAATAAGAAAGTGCTTTCGGATAATTACCCAGACTGTAATGTGCTAAACCAATGGACATGTACGAAGGAGCCAAATCAGGATGATTGTGAGGAAGTGATTGTTGTTTGATTTCAAGGGCTTTTTCATAAAATAAAAGTGCTTCTAGATAATTGCACATGTCTTTATGCACTAAACCAATATTATTGTAGGACATCGCCAAATCAGGATCATTGGCAGGAAGTGATTGCTGCTGAATTTCAAGGGCTTTTTCAAAAGATGAAAGTGCTTCTGAATGATTACCCATCCTGTAATGCACTGCACCAATGTTGTTGTACGACATAGCCATACTAGATTGATTGAGAGGAGAAGTTTTTTGATAGATAGCAAGTGATGCTTGATGAGATGAAAGTGCTTCTGGATAATTACCCATGTTGTAATGCACTAAACCAATATTGTTGTATGAAGAAGCCACATCAGGATGATCCGGAGGAAGTGATTGTTGTTGAATTTCAAGACCTTTTTTATAATAAGAAAGTGCTTTCGGATAATTACCCGCGTTGTAATTCACTGCACCAATGTTGTTGTAGGAATAAGCCAAACTAGAATGGTTGTGAGGAAGTGATTGTTGTTTGATTTTAAGGACTCTTTCATGGAATGAAAGTGCTTTTCGATAATTATGCATGCTGTTAGGCACTGAACCAATGCTGTTGTTGGAAGAAGTCAAATTAGGATAATTGGGAGAAGTGACTGTTGATGCTTTTTCTTTAGTCATTGTTTGCTTCGTGAATGATTTGAGTTAGAGTTACTGTGTAAAATTTACTAGTGAAGTAATGATCAAAAACGATTCTATTTATGGGTGTCTACTTCCCTTCTAAATGTTTTGTCCTTACCTGTTTGGGATGTTTCTATGAAAAACAATACATGGAGAATGAAAACAAAAGCGATGAAATATTGTCATGGTTGAGTAATCATCGACGTAACTTCACTTTTTCGTTCTAGACACTATCGATTAGACGTGTCCAGTATATATTGTTCTTCTTCTCCTTACAACTCCGTCGACAAAAATGAAAATTCAAACTGAAAGTAGTCTATTCCCTGATATTAATGAAGTCAACGATAATCGATCGATTACTCAGAATACACCTCACAAAACTTTAAACGAAATTGTGCAACAGTAGAGCCCATCGGGTCCGGACCTGGGCGGGTCTGAGTCGGGTCCGGGTCTGAAAATTTTGTTTTAACCGGATCCGGGTTAGGGAACGGCGGGATTGTCCCGATTCCTAATTTTTTCCCGAACCCGGTCCCGATCCCGTCGTGATCGGGGTCGGGATTGATGACGTCACGGGACCGGGACTGAAAATCCCGACCGCTGCTTCAACGGGATCGGGATCGGGACGGGATACAATTTTTCGGGACTTAGCTAACTATATCTTATCGAGGTGCAATTTGTTTTTATTCGAAAATTCAATGGAATCTTTCGTAAAAATAAAACTAAAATACAAGTGTATACATGTCATGAAAAGCAATGTTCGTAAGATATATAAATAAGTAAGGTTCAAGAAACAACAAATTTTGATTACTCTTCGAGTTCATCTTCACTTGATACGGTGTTATTATTTCCAGTTCGATGCTCCTTCGATACTGAAGGTGTCTGCTGTTCACCTTCATGCTCGCCGCTCGACTTATATGCATCGATTGACTTTCGTTCCTTTCTTTGATCATATAGATTTGTCCTTATTGATCTTGTCTTTGATCTTTCTCGTTTCACTTTTGATGTATTGAAATGTTTTATCTGTCTCATATATGCGCTCTCTTTTCGGCTTGATCGATTAGTTTGATATAGCATCTGACTGAAAGAACTCAGAATACTATAATATACGCTTAAACGTCAGCTTTCCATCAACAAATCGTAATACTATGAAATACTATCGAGTTGGATCTTATTCCACATATATGTGTTTAAAAATTATTTCTGGTAGATTGAAAAAAATCGAATTTAAACAGGACCGGGCGGATTTCTCTGTTAGAAAGCGGGACCGGAACGGGTTTCATCCAAGCGAGACCGAATCTGGATCGGGACGAAAAAACTCGGTCCCACCGCTCCCTACCTGTAACTGTTAGTTATGTTCGTAGTACTATGTATTTTTACATCAAACTTTTTATTGCATAAACTTCAACCTGGCATATTTTGAAGAGATTCTCTGAAAATCTTTCAGTATTCGGCTCTGATTATTATATGTACTGGTGGCCGTTCAGGATTATTATATGACCGGACTCTACGATTTACTAACCAAACTAATATTATGTCTTGTAAAAAAAAAGGTGAGCGAATCCAAAGATGAACGTTAAAACAACTATTCTGTTTAGTATTACATTACTTTTACGTGTCTTATAGCAAAAAATATCAACAGATGACAATTCAGTTGTTGTTTATGTCATTTTTTTTCATATACACTAATCAGTATTATTAACATATATTTGTGAATCAATACATTATCTGTACAATTCTTTTTTTACAAATATTTCTCATATTTCATTTATTTATATCAAGTCAAGACGTAGAACACGTATATATTCGTCTTTTCTAAAATAGATTTGATTACTTTTGTTGATGAAAAAATAAGATGACAAAGACGAAATAATGTAACCTGTCAGGCATGAACAGCTTTTGTGCAAAAGACGGAAAGAGAGAGAAAATCAAATGGGAAAAATTACTTTTAGTAACATATTCCCTCCGTCTCTGTCTTCAGTAATTTTGGTTGGGGACAGATTAGAAGTTACTTGCATACGAGTGTGTTGTCATAACGAACGGATAAGGACATGTCCACATAATGATCATTCTGTTTTAGATACCTTGTTGATGAATTATATGAATTTTCTTTTTCTTTCATTATAGTGTGGAAAAGACTCCTTGCTATGATAAAGATCCTAGAGAGTTTCCTTTTATCATTAAAGAGATGTAGATGTTTCAATTTGAAGAAATGAAATTGTATTACGATTAGACAAAAAATAAAATATTTGGCCTATCTTTATTCAAATATTAGAAATAGTCTGTTTCGAATGTTAGAAATCACAAATCCATCTTCACTACCGTCCTAAAGTTATTTAAAAAATAATCATCTTCTTCGTATTATTTTGAATTAAAGAATAGTTGTTAGCTTTTGGTAGTTGTAGATGTCTATATCAAATATTCTAATGTATTCTATTTGAGAATATTATGAAAAGAGAAAGAAAAAAAAGTATGACAGATGCACCTTGTAGAAATAAGTTGATTAAAATAAAAGAATAAGACGTAAAAGATATGATAGTATTAATTCTATCTTTCAAAAGCAACAGTATTTAAAAAATGTCTATTGTTGAAGCAACTGCTCAATTATCTGTTTGGGGTCCAATCACACTATTTTTCATTGGATTTATATCAAACTTTTCCAACATGATTATTTTCGTCGGAGTAAAAACATTTCGGCAATCTCCCAGTACTTTTTATATTATGGGTCAGTCAATCACTAACCTAGGTGCGTTAATAATGATTCTTCTACAAAGTATTCCATCAACATCTGGATCTGCATCATCAGTATCATGTAAGTTAATAATGTACTTTAGTCAAGTAACAGCACCTGCAGCAATGAGTTTTCTTTGGTTATCTGCATTCGATCGATGGGCATGTACATCTCGATCGACGCGAATACGAAAATTAAGTTCAAATCATATAGCTTCTCGTCTCTTTCTATTTCCTTTTGTTTTTTGGTCATTGATCTGCATTCCTTATTTCCTATTTTGCGATTTGGTACCTCCTACGTTTAATTGTATTTATACTAACGAAATTTTTGCCCAAGTTTCTCTTTATTTTCTGGATCCTCTAGTCGCTGCTATATTTCCTCTTATAATTTTAATAATATTCGGTATATTAACATATCAAAATATTTTTGGTGTTACTCGTGTTCATCAAGATTTAGTTCGAACTCGTTTATCAATAACTCGTTTATCAACATGGGAACAACAAATGACGAAAATGATGATTAGTCAAACTCTTTTAACTATTTTATGTACACTTCCTCGAGCAATTTTTTTTATTTATATAATGGCAATAATTAATGAAATAGCAATGAAAAGTGTTGATGAATTAGAAATTATATATTTTATGAATCAATTCACTGCATTTATCTTTGGAATCAATTTCGCTTTATCTTTTTACATTTTTCTTCTTTTTTCACCACGATTTCGACAGACAATTAAAACCCATTTAAAATGTCAATTCCATTTAACAAATAATCAAGTTGCTCCTTAGCCTATCTCGTTTAAAGCTCTGAAAGAGAGTATTAACATCATTATTTAAAACAAAAAAATTCAATATCAAGAGAGATATTCATTTACAAACTTAAACAATTCTTTTTTTTTGTTTTGTTATTTTTTGAAAAAAATGTATGTTGTACAAACGAAAATTTAATATAAAATTGAACAAGGAAAACTGTTTTCTATGCATTATCTTTTTTCATGATAATATTCTTGATTAAATAACAAGTATTGAGGCAACTCTTTAATCAATTTAATTATATTTAGTTCTTTTCTAAATTGACCATCATTATCAAGAATAAAAGCAAAGAAAATATGTAAGATTAAATCATCTAAATGCGAAAATCATATCTGGAAAATAATAATCAAGATTCTGTTTATATTACATTCATATTATGATCTAATATGAATACACTGAAACGTTATTTAACTCGACTTGTACAGTAAATATTAATACATACTGAATATTGAGGAACAAATGGATAAACTCATTAAATCATTTCAATAATCATTTTGAATTGATAGATATCAACAATGATATTCCTAATATACCAAATATTTTTTTGATTAGTCAATTTCATTTAACATTCGTATACTTACCATTTACAAATTTTTAAATCAATTTTGGTACATGAACGATAAATAAAGTACTTCGATTCACACTTTCATCCTGACTATTATAATAGAAAAGAATATTGTTTGAAAATCGAAAAAGATCATCGCTAGTTCACTGTTTTTTGTAGATTACTTTTTATCTTTGATTGACAGACTATTTTAAGAATACATAACTCTACTTGAACACAATAAACCATAGAAATAGGTTAAAACATATAATTCTAAAATTTCGTTTCATGCAAATAAATTTTGAATCTACGAGTTATAAACAATATATTTTTCTGATTTCTATTTAATAACAGCAAACGATAGTTAAACACTGTGAGTTTTGCCATTCAATTTTTATTATAAAATCAAATAAATAATTTGATTCTAATACAAGATGTTATAGGCAGGAAAAAAAGACAAGTAGAGAAACACATTCATTAGATTATAATTTAAATGTGTTGGGCTACGATTGCTTTTACTACTTTTGGTAATTCATCGCACAATGTTTGACCATCAATTGTTTTTCGAACAATTTTAGTTATTAAATCATAGATTCCATTCAATGCACCTGGTTGAAGTTTGTTTTCAAACAATAATGTTGCTAAATGAATAGCTTCTACTTCAATTCCTTTCAATTCGTCTTCTTGTTCACGTGATACTTCAGTTTCGGTAAATTTAACAATTTTTTGAATTGCACTAATAAAGTCAATTTTTGAATATGCTTGATAAGCTTGTAATTCTTTGATACCTCTAACAAGAAATTCAGTGCGTGTATGATTGAACATAGCTGCAGCATCATCTACTTGGTCACGAATATTTGAAGGAAGAACATTGAGTACTTGATTGATAAGAAGCTAGATAAATATAAAGAAATCATATAATTAATATAACGAAAATTTATGAGTATGGTAACATACATTTTGGAGAAAGTTTCGTGTCTAAAATTTAAAAAAAAAAGAATAATTATTATACGATTAAAAGTATTGTTAAATTTAAATGTTTCTCATCTAAGAAAATCAATTGTTTAAATTGGCAAAGTTATCTACATTTTGATCAATATTTTTTTAACAATTATAATATCTATTAGAGGAGTTGCATAATAGTTTTTGTCTGTAAATTCAAGAATGTTTATATATTTCAAAAATAAAACAAACCTCTGGAAGTTCATGAACATCTGAATCTGATATTACTGATGGATATCCTACAGCTATACCAACAGCAATAAAAGCAACAACAGCAGTGATGGCAATGGTCAATGATTTCATGGTTATGAAGTGTAATTGTTAGTGAAACGATATATATGTATATATATGTAAGAATAGCTATGGCGTGAGAATGGTGAGAAATGTACCATATGTTACTTGTATTCGTCGTACAAAAATAATTTTTCATTACAGTCCCACTTTTATTTTTAAAACATTGTTTTTAAGCAATCAAACATCAAGTGATATGATGAGAAATAATGTCATACGTTTATCTATATTTATAATAACAGGTACCAACGCCTACGAATACCAAAAAAATAAATTGAAATGATGGTAGTTTTAAATAATTTTTTTAAAATTTTCTTCATATCAATGCAGTTTATCATAATTAATCTGAGACCCTAAAACAGACTTACTATTATTAATCGTAATTATATGTACGATTTCAAACATATGCATAAAAACTATTAGAATTTCGTTGGATATTTGCACAAAGCTAAAAGATGAAGAGATAATTACTCAGCTCTCTTTCAAAAACTGTTAAAGATTTATTTTGTTTGACCAAATATATATTATACTAATAAAATTCAGTTTTGTATTATTTTAAAAGTAAACTAATTGAAATGACTATTCTATTGAAATTTTTAAAATAGATTGACCTTTGTAATGTCAATATGAATAGAGATTTGAATAGAAAAAAGTACAGCAAATAAGTAACTATCAAGTTTAAAGTGGCATGTTTTTGAAATTTGCATATTTGAAGGTAAATCTTTGCATAATTTGTTTTTTCGAAATAAATAATATAGATGACGTCAACGAACAAATCTTTTATGAAAATTTCATTTTATTTTATCAGCAAACATTGACAGATAAAAACCCACTCCTCCCCTTTTTTTTTGATTGAGTATGATGACTAAACTTATACTGTTCTAATATCAATATTTGATGAACAATCAGTAATACCAAATATTTTGTTAAAAACAGTAGGTGGAAAAATAAACTTGGTTTTCGTTTGGACCAAATTTAAATAGTCCAGAAAAATCGGAAATTTAGTTACATATTCATATTATGATTAACATGAAAGCATTACTTGTCGGTTTAGTCATTGTAGCAAGTAAGTCAAAATAGTATTTTAATTTTCATTTTGATATCGAATATCACTTTACAAAAAAGGAAACATGAATATTATAGTAGAATTTAAAATATTATTCGATGAATTTGATAAGAAATAATCGACTTAATTTTTTTTTGTAGTTATTGAACGTAGCAATGCTGCTTTTCAATGTTACAAATGTAATAACTGTGGAGTGACTATGAATCGTAATATAGCCACAATAGCTCTCACCGAAGGTGGAAGTAACTATTGCACGGTAAGTTTTTTTTCTAAGCTTGAATTTAAATAATTATATTTGGTCATTTGTAGAAAAAAGTTGTTGGTACTGCAGTAACCAGAGATTACAGTCCAACATGTACTCAAGGTAATGGCATGTATTGTTGTCAAGATGATTTATGCAATTCATCCAATTCTAAATATTATGTCAATGGTGGTCTATTCATATTATTCTCGATAGTTGGCTTTGTTCTACGACAAATTTAACGAACAAATCTACATATATATGCTTTTTTTTTATTTGTTTTTCTTTTTTAACACTGATAAATTTCACTTGTAATGAAGTGTCAGAAAATTAGTGTTTCTGGTTTTTGTTTAAATATATATAAAAATACGAGAAAAAAATTATTTTCTTTGAATCAATAAACAGATATTTTCACTTCTTATGCTAATTATTTAAAATTACACTCTCTCATAATAACGAAATGAACTCTATCAATTCAAAGAAACAGACATTGGACAAGTACAAGTATACCCAGTAAAATTACAAATGTGTGTAAAAACTGGTCTAATATCTATTCATACCTTTAAAAAACTGACTAACATCTGAATTAATGACAAACTTCTTTCACACCTTAATGATATCTATAAAATGAATGAATATAAGTTATATTTAACAAAATATAGATGTTATTATTGTTAGTTCTTGATTAAAATTTATTGTAGATAAATATCTCATTTATCTCTTGTTTCAGTAAACTGCTTTTGATTCACAAATATTTCACTGATAGTTTTTATTTTTAATTGTTTATTACTTTATTTTATTTTATTGAATAAGAAAAAATCATCAGTTTTTGTTAAAAAGTTTTTTATATTAATTATCTGAAATACTAAGACAAAAATATTGATACAAGCCTTTTAAAGTTATGTCCATATATATATATATAATTATCACCGACAAAACATAGTCGAGCAGAAAAAAATTCATATAAACGTATCATTAAACAACGCTTATGTCATTAATTACAACTGGAAGCCGAAGCAAACTAAAAAGAGATGAAATAATAGAATTTTAATTGAAACGGAAAATCTATATAAGCAAGTGTGTTAATAATATTTGAAATATACGAGATCTGAAAACTAATCAAGGTACTTTTGTACTTACAGTACAGGTACTTAAGTAAATCAATATTTAGTACAAGTCCCCAGTACATTTTTGTAATATAAGTACATTTACTTGTACTGCAAGAAATTTACTTAATACTTAAGATTTTAAGTAAAAAGGACGAAAAGACCGAATAGTGTACTAAGTATTCAATGTCTGCAAAGAAAACAATAATCATGAATAATTATCCGATAGTATCTTCACTAAAAACATAATTCTGCTTGTTGTGAATATAGTAAGATGTTATATTTCAAGATTTTTCGACAATCAATTAGTTAGTTGCTTTCAAAATAATTTTCAATATTAGTTTTTCTCCTGGCTACTAATTGACAATAAAAATAATGAAAGACGAGTTCTATAAATATCCTTCTTCTAGTTTTGCACGGGATGCATAGAAGTAAGTTGGACAATATATGAATTTATTTTGTATCATTATTCTTTATTTGAGTGGGCATAGAATAAAAAAAAAAGGAAAGAGAATATAAGCTAACGATGAATTAAAAGAAAAGTTAGTCGTGCAAGAACTTTAGTTCGTGACTTTTTTTCTTCAAATGTGATCTCGTGATGTTTTGACTAATCATTTAATTGACGCCATATTTACCATATCAACAAAATAATAAAAGATAACACTATGAAAATACGAAACTATTTTTGTAAAAAAAATTCTCTTAACTAAATCTGATCATTTTTAAGGGAATGATTGGTGTGTGACAAAAGCAATAAGAACATGTAGAAATTAAAATAAATAATGTAATAGATATTAGATATTAATTTCAATACCTTCCAGTAGAAGATGTTGTTCTTGTCTGCTACAAAAGTCAGTGCACTAAATAATAAAATAATATTTTTTACTTAGCTATTCACTTTTGTATGTCACTATCCTATAAAATATAATCTATATTCTATATTTCGAAGTTCATTCTTTATTAACTTAAAATATTACGACAATTATACTGATACACAACATAAAACACTAGTATATTCTACATGAAATATTTCAGTTAGTAATGCATCATTGTTGATTATGGCTAGGCCACCGCTATATCTGGTGGAACATTATTTTGATTTACTGAATGCTCATTTTGATTGCCACCACATTTTCGAAATGTTTTGTGGAATAATTCTTTAAGTTGTTTTCTATACACACGACTAGATAGAATATATGAAAAGAATGGCATACCAATTGAAAAAGTAATGAGCACTTGAAAGACTGCAGCCACAAAAGCATAGGTAGGTGTAGTACGAATGTAGTTAGGGAAAGTACCAATAAGGTAACTGACACTCGTTGGTAGAGTGAGCAAAACTTGTGCACCAACTTGAAAGAAAAGCATTTGACCTAGTTGATTTTCAGTACGACTAAAACGTGAAACACTTATTGGAGCTATACGTGAACGCTTGGCATTTTTTATTGTAATAATACCACACATAATCATGAGACTAGGTGGAACAACAGTAAAGAGAAGAACTTGTATGATGATGTATACTTGAAAATAGGTTGTATTGGCTTGCATCATACATATAAAGCCTTTATCAGGCTCTAATCCATATATAACTAAGATATGAATGAAAAATAATGCAAGTACACCAACAACAAGAAAGATCATCCAATGTGCTACTCGAACATTACTAAACTTGCGTATTTGAGCATTGCGTGAACTGGCACAGCATCGATCAATAGAAGCCAGTATAATGAAGTATGTTGCCAGAAAAGTAGTTAAAGTACTAATATAATTAACAATCTTGCATGCGATGATTGAATTAGTGGTTATATTAATTTGATATCCATTAGACAATATACGATAAGTCAAAAGCATAGTTGAATAAAATAGATTGTTACCAGCAAGTGCAAGAAAATACCGAGAACAAGCATGATAAAATAAACAACGTTGACTGAGTAGGGCAATATTGAGGGAGTTACCTATGATACCAAGAAGGGCATTGATTGGTAGGATAACTCGTTGAAGTGAGGTTGAAATTTGTGTCAAGTCGGACATTGTGCGTGTTTTTTTCTGATGCTTATCTATGTCAATGTACGCCCTTTTATACGATTTAAATAAATTATTATTAGAATTAATTTTATTGACATGTTATGAATATTAATAGTTTTGAAAAAAAACGGATGCTTTTATCTTAATGGAACTTTACGGATAAAAACTTTAATGGGCATTATTAGACTAATTTGTTTTATATATATCTGGGACTGCAAAAAGTTCCTCTTATATGATTTAATTAAAGTATGACGTATATCTATTCTTTTTAAAAATGTAGAATGTTAAAGTCTTTAGATGACTTTGCTGCTGTAATATATATTGTCCAAGAATAAGTTATGTAAATACGAAAATAACTTTTTATTTTCATCAAAAATGATTTTGCATCTACATATTCAATTAATCAAGAATGATAAGAATTAAAATTTTTGTTTACAAGTATTCATATATTTCTATTCGACTCTTTATTTTTGCTTGTAATGTCACTGGATTTTACGAGAAAGAATGTGATTGTATATCATGCATAGAATATTCAAGATGTTAGAGAACGTTGTTGAAAAGAGAATGGATTATGAACTTAACAATCTTGAAAAATTAAAATCTTAATTTTATAATATAGTCAGAAAGTTAAATTTTTTAACTTGAATGATCGCTATTAATAACTGTGTTGATCAGAGTAACAATTTAGATACAATTGAAAAGATAAGTGCTATTTCATTCATCACGATTTGAGAATAAAATTATTCGCAGCTACCCTCTGTAATGAGTTTAGACATTAACTGAATGATTTATCGTCATATATTTACATTATATTGGTGTTAGAAAAGTTTTGATAAAATCGTTTTAGTTCGATAATAACTTAAATGTATTTGTTATTGGAGATCGCTTATCTTTTGTAGAGAAGGAAAAATCAAAAACTTAGTTACATATACATATTATAATGACTAAAATTTAATCGGGCAATAAATAATATGAATGAGCAATAATCAAGTTTAGCGATAGTTGTATTAACTGAGCGATAAATATAATAATTCAGCTAAAAGTAAACTAGCTAAACAATAATTTATTAAAACTGAAGATAAATATTACATAGGAAGGGCAATATGGATTTACTTTTTTTGTTTCTTTTGTTCTATACTATATCGTACAGATTACCGGAAAAAGACCATATGTGAAAGAACGAAAAACAATTTGTGTACATATGCGAAGTGAAGAGAATGATTCCAATGAACTTCTAACATGTACATATAATCTCCTTCATTTTCTTGGATCTCTTGGTTTTGACCAACCGCTCATATCTCTTTACGTTTTTCCGGGATTTTCTCTTCACATTTTATGCTAATTACCAAATTATTTTGGATTTTCCCTCTCACTTGTTCTCTATATATACATACATTGTCACCATTTGTAAAATAAAAAAGAAAATTATGTTTCATCAGTGAGATCGATTTACCCGTTAACAATTATACCGTTTGCACAGATGACTCAGTCACAAGGCGTATCATAATATGTTTCTGTTGCTGAAAATGATGATGATATGCAACTAGACTCTTCTACTAATAGTGAAAATGTTCAAAAAAAAAGAAAATGGTTTCCAGTATGCACATACAATAACAAATTTGCATTTGCCCATCACTTCTAAAAAATTACATCTCCTAGCACATCATCGGATTGTCCATAGGACTGAAATATTGCAAAGCTCCACCAGAGGCAAAAAATGTAGCAATTGGTGCAAAAAGAAAGTGAGGCAAGCCATCTGAAGCTAAAAAGGCTTTCATCGAACAGTAATTTTTCTGTTATTAAAATATAAGCTTATTACCGCTCAAATATATATTTATTACTACAGTTAAATCAGTTCGTTATTATCCATTTTGTAATATATAATTACTGCTCGCTTCAATTTTTAAATTGCCCATAAAAATACTAGCCTATTACGATTAGCATGAAAAAATTACTTGTGTTTTTACTCATCGTAGCAAGTAAGTTAAAGTAGTTTTTTAAAGTTCATTTTGATATCGAATATCGCTTTACGAAAATGAAACATTATTACATGAATTTGATAAGAAATAATTGATTTAATTTTTTCTAGTTATTGAACGAAGCAATGCTGCTTTTCAATGTTACAAATGTAATAACTGTGGAGTGACTATGAATCGTAATATAGCCACAATAGCTCTCACTGAAGGTGGAAATAACTATTGCACGGTAAGTTTTTTTTCTATTTTTGAACTTAATTAATCATATTTGGTCATTTGTAGAAAAAAGTTGTTGGTACTTCAGTAACCAGAGATTACACTGCAACATGCACTCCAGGTAATGGTATGTATTGTTGCCAAAATGATTTATGTAATAATTTAACGAACAAATCTACACATATATACGCTTTTTTTTATTTGTTTTTCTTTTATAACACTGATAAATACCACTTATAACAAAGTGTCAAAAAATTAGTGTTTCTGTTTTTTTTTAAATATATATAAAAATACGAAAAAAAATACATTATCATTGAATTAATAAACACATAATTCTGCTTGTTGTGAATATAGTAAGATGTTATATTCCAAGATTTTTCGACAATCAATTAGTTAGTTGCTTTCAAAATAATTTTCAATACTAGTTTTTCTCCTGCCTACCCATTAACAATATATCAATTCATTTTGTATCATTATTCTTACTAGAGTTACATTTGGTACTCTCTATCTGATTGGGCATAGAATAAAGAGAAAGGGAAAGTGAATGTACGCTAACAATTAATTAAAAACAAGTTAATCCTGCAGAAACATTAATTCATGACTTTTTTCCTTCAAATGTGATCTCGTGATGGTTTGACTAATAATTTAGTTGACGTCATAGTTACCATATCAACGAAATAATAAAAGATAACTCTATGAAAATATGAAACTATTTTTGTAAAAAAAATTCTCTTAACTAAATCTGTTCAATTCAAGGGAATGATTGATGTATGACAAAAATAATAAGAACATGTAGAAATTAAAAGAAATAATGTAATAGATATTAGATATTAATTTCAATATCTGATAGTAGAAGATGTTGTTTTTTTTATTAAAAAAAATGACATATTGTTCTTGTTTGATACAAAAGTCAGTGCACCAAACAATAAAGCAATATTTTAATTAGCTATTCACTTCTGTATGTCATCATTCTACAAACCATAATCTATATTCTATATTTTGAAGTTCATTCTTTATTAAATTATAATATTACGACAATTATACTAATACATTTAACATATAATATTAATAATACTCAATGATTTATTTCAAAAGAACTATTTTAGGTAAGGTAAAACATTTCAGTTAGTGGTGCATTGTTGTTGATTATGGCTTGGCCACCGCTGTACCTTGATGAATAGTATTTTGATTTGCTGAAGGATCATCTTGATTGTCAACACGTTTTCGAAATATTTTGTAGATTAATCGTTTAAGTTGTTTTCTATACACACGACTAGATAGAATATATGAAAAGAATGGCATACCAATTGAAAAAGTAAAGAGCATTTGACAAATTACAGCTGCAAAAGCATAGGTAGATGTACTACGAGTTGGATTAGGTAAGGTGCTTATAAGATAACTAACACTTGTTGGTAGAGTGAGCAAAATATGTGCGCCAACTTGAAAGAAAAGCATTTGACCTAGTTGATTTTCAGTACGATTAAAACGTGAAATGCTTATTGGAACTACACGTGAACGCTTCATATTTTTTATGGTAATAACGCCACAAATCATCATAAGACTAGGTGGTACAACAGCAAAGAGAAGAACTTGTATGATGATGTATACTTGAAAATAGGTTGTATCGGCTTGTGTAACACATGCAAAGCCTTTTCCAGGATCTAACTTACATATAATTAAGATATGAATGAAAAATAATGCAAGTACACCAACAACAAGAAGAATCATCCAATGAGCTACTCGGACATTACTAAATTTGCGTATTTGAGCATTGTGTGAACTGGCACAGCATCGATCAATAGAAGCCAGTATAATGAAGTATGTTGCCAGAAAACTAGACAAAGTACTAACATAAGTAACAATCTTACATGCGATGATTGAATTAGTGGTTATATTAATTTGATATCCATTAGACAATAAGCGTTGAGTTATCATAATGGCTGAATAAAATAGATTGTTACCAGCAAGTGCAAGAAAATACCGAGAACAAGCATGATAAAATAAAGAGCGTCGAGTGAGTACAGCAATATTGAGGGAGTTACCCATGATACCAATAATGGCATTGATTGGTAGGATAACTCGTTGAAGTAAGATTGCAATTTGTGTTAAATTGGACATTGTTCGTGTTTTTTTCTGATGCTTATCTATGTCAATGTACGCCCTTTTATACGATTTAAATAAATTATTATTAGAATTAATTTTACTGACAAAAAACGGATGTTATTATCTAAATGGAATGTTATTTGTAAAAATTTTAATGGGCGTTATTGTACTAATTTGTTTTATATATATCTATGGCTGCGGAAAGTTCGTTTTATATTGTTTAATTAAAGTATGACGTATATCTATTCTTTTTAAAAATGTATAATCTTAAATTCATTAGATGACTTTGTTCCTTTAAAATATATTCTCCGAGAATAAGTTATGTTATGTTGTATCTTCATTATTTCGTTATAACCAATTATTTATCAATAATCTTTTTCTTGCATCAATTAATTACTTGATAGAATCAGCAAACATTCATGAACCAAAATCGTCTCGTCGAAATATGACAGCACCTTTTCACTTTCATCAAGTTGAAAAAATAAGTATTATTTCATTCATCACAATTCGAGAATAAAATTATTCGCAACTGCCCTCTATAATGAATTTAGACATTAACTGAATGACTCATCGTGACATATTTACATTATCTTCGTGTTAGAAAAGCTTTGGTACAATTGTTTTCGGAGATCACTTATCTTTGATAGAGAAAGAAAAATCAATTGCAAAACAGAAAATATTATAATAGCTAGTATTGTGACTTTTTACTGCCACAAATTTTACTACGTAATTATAAATTTAGAAAAAAAACAAGGTATTTCTTTTAACTGAGATACTCATTTTCTTAGATGTTAAGTACAATGCGGTTTAACATGAATACTTCCTTCTTTAATTTATAACGGAAAATTTTAATTTTAGCGATTAATAATGTAAGTCGTCATTAATCTTTATTTAAATTATTGATGTAGAAAAACATGCACTAATATCCATTTATATGCTTGCATGAAACAAATTATCAATTTGATAGATGTCCTTTTGACCTTAGTATTATATATTTAATAAATTTACAACATCTATGATATATTCTTATCAATAATTTGATCAGTAATATAAATCTTTCTAATCTACAACAGATTATGATTCGTAAACCTCTTTGTTATTATTATTCATCATTAAAATCTGAATGTTTACAAGAAATTGTCTCCTCTTATTTACATCGATTAGGACCTGGTCAGTTACCATTAGAACTTTCTACAATTAATAACAACGATACAACATTTATTCCATGTTTACTTGTACCACATGGTGCTTATTGTGATTCAGGACCTCTTTATGCTAAAGCTTATTATTGGTTAAATTCATTTATCTTCGATACAGTTCTTATAATCGGAACAAATCATAGTGGTGCAGGTTTATCTAATGTCAGTCTTTCTCCTGATAATTGGCAAACACCACTTGGTGTCGTTGAAACTGATGCAGATTTATTTAATATATTCGTATCAATATTAGGTATTCAATATGTCGACAGAGAAGCACATCGAAATGAACATTCCATAGAAAATCAATTACCATTTTTAAAACATATACGACCAAACGCTAAATTAATTGCATTATCACTTTCAAGATTAAACGATTTGAATAAAGGATATCAAATATGTGAACAAATTAAAAAAGCAATTGATTTATATCAACAACAAACAGGTATAGATAATGATAGAAAACTAGATATGCATAGTAATTTATTTAAGTTATGTTTATTATTCATAGGTAAACGAATAGTTATTATTTCTACTACGGATTATACTCATTATGGTCCTGGTTATGGTCAGAATAATGCACAAAATTTATCTGCAAATGAAGAATATGCTCGTGTTAATAATAAATCTATTTTACAATCCATTTTATCAAATAATCCTGAACAACTTTTACAAACTCAACAAATAACTCAAAATTCAATGTGTGGATTATGGCCATCATTAATCATTATGATTTTATCTCGATTATTGAATAATAATAAAGGACTATGGAATGTTCTTTCCTACAATGTCAGTTCAGAAGTTATGAAACGTGGTAAAGATGTTTGTGGCTTTGCATCACTTATATATTCAAATACTGTATAAAAAAAAAGATTTTTTTTTTCTATTTCTAATAAATTAATCATAGTTAATTCATTGCATTGTTTAACAGACAATTATTCCAATGTATACATTGCCATTTTATTTCATGAATAAGACTCTAAATAATTTACAACAAAAAATAGGATTTATTTTGATTAATCATAATAAAGAAATTCAGATTTCTTGAAAACAATTGAACATTATTGGTAGTAGATGTAATAATCTAATTTAATAGTTCTGTACATAGTTTCGACATTCTATCTTGATGAATTACATAATGATTTAGAAGTACAATGTCACATATGAAGATGCTTAGAATAAATACTAGTTCTAACATGCTGCTTATAATCAATTAAAATCTTCTATATAACTTTCTTTTATAAATTGATATTTTAAATGATGAGAGAAAAAAAAATTCATTGGCATTAGTACGTCCATTAGAGGTGCTACATATATATATATATTCTTATCTATTCTTCTAATAATATCATGCTTGTCGAATGAATTAGGCAGCACTCAACATCATCGACGACACACTCCATCGATCATCGTCACTGACAACTGGTGTTATATGTTATCATGGCAAACAAATCTTAACTGTACGATCATTTGCGCGTTCATCGATTCTATCATTGATGATCTTTTACTCTACGCAGCAATTAACACGTTTTCTCTCTTTTTGTTTCTCTTCTATCGTCAATCATATTCTTTTTCGTCACCATCGTAATGTTTTTACAACTGGAGCTTGTCTTACATTCTCATTAAATCCAAGTACATATAACAAATACTATTTTGTTTTATACGAATTCTTCTACGATATAGATAAATTGGATGAGAAAAAGGCAAAGAAAGAAGATCAACGATATGGTAAATTAACTTTGTTTCGTCTGACACAAGTCAATAAATCACCGTCGATTTGTTTTTCTTCGACACAATCATATATAGATAGACATTGGAATGTATATATATTGAAAAAAAAGAGCGAATAAGGCCAAAAGAGAATCTTGAAAAATAATTTATTAGAGACAAGAAAAAGTGATAGCAGCAATGAAGAAGCGGGTAGTGGTACAAGCATAAAGCAAACGAAAACAAACTACATGTTCAAGAATAATAATAAGGATAGAAGAAGACGAAGAAGAAGAAAAAACAATGTGATGCCGAGGGTATAAGTGGATGATCATTATATCTGCACAGCCATAACGGCATTATATTAAGGAGGGGCTCAAAAAACAAGAAAAAAAAAAGAGATGCAAAAAGAAAAAAACGAAAGTTTCAATCGCATAAACGATAGGCAACCGATTGTGTTCCACCTAATGATTGTGATTCGCTTATTTCAAAAATATATGCAACACATAAAAGTAATTCATCCGTATCTTTTGATACAACTGTCTAAAAAGAAGAAGAATTTAATGAAGAGAAAAATTATATTAAGAAAGATTCTTACCTGAAGTACACTTAAATGTTCAAGTACTGCATTCATCATTTCACGCATATATATTCCTGTTTTAAGTTTTTTTATAAATTCAACCATATAACTACACATTGTTGTATCATTTGAACGATAAATACATTTACCAATAATATCATTATATTTTGTTACACCACTCTAATAAAATACAAAAAAAAATCATTATTGAAAAAACAAAATAATCTATGTATTAAATAATTTACTTCGATTTTTTCAACAGCCGTTTTTCCATATGAACATACTTTTGTTGTTATATTAATATTTAAATTTTCTTCTGAACTTTCAAAACTAAAAGATCAAAATAAATAAATATATATATAAAAGAATTTTTTTTTTCTTTACTAATTAGAACAATGATATATATTTGCAGCAGTATCTTGATAATTCATATTAACCTATTAGAAAAGAAATTAAGTTATAAATAATGAAAAAGAAGAAAAAAAACAAAATTAATACCCAAACTTTGACAACATAGAAAGCATCTTGTGGTCCTTTGTCATAGAGTTCTTTTAACATTGGAAATATATCAATAATTTGGCTCACTTTGATACGCTATTAGTAGTAATATATATATAATAAAATATAATAAGATTCAATCAACTTACTTCAGGTTTAATATCAGTACCAGCGTCTTGACTGATATGAAGGAGATAATGTCTCTAAAATAAAATGATATAAATATGATTCAATAGAAATTTTGTTAAATATCTTACTGAATCAATATCACGTTTTGATTCAATATATCCAGCAAATTCCACAAGTTTCATTCGATTTGAACTTATAAAACGTGTTGTTAATGAATTTGTTGTACTTGCTGTTGGTATAAGTTCGATGGGTGTTGTCGATGATGGTGAAAATGGTTTAATACTAATAAATTAGATTTGTTTTTTTAATTTAATTATAAAGTAAAAACTTACTCAAGATAGGGTGTATTTGGTTGTTGCCAGAGACTCTAAAACACAAGAAGAAAAAATAAATAAACAAAAAAAAAGAATATTAGAAAAGAAAACATACAATTGTTGATGGTGATGAATATGGTGAAAGATTTGCTGTCGATTTAAATGGTGATGATGATGTTGGTGTTATATTCATATTTGTTGTTGGTGAAAAAAGTGATACACCTGTACGATGATGTGTATAATATGGTGAATTACTATCAGTTATAATTGGTGATGTTGTTGTATTATCACGTAATGGATGATAATGTTGATTCATAACAAATGGACGATGTTGTTCTTTTAAATTTGAATCCTAAAATAGGTACGACAAAAAAAACCGAATGTTTAGTTTTTTAATGATTAATTTATTTACCTTAAATAATGATTGAAGTTCTTTGGATTTTCGTTTAGCAAGAACTTGAATATGTGATGAAACTTGTTTTCGTGTACGTGATTTACCCGTACGCATTTTAATATAACGTGAAATAAGTTCATTTCTTCCGAACATTTTACCTTCATCGGATAAAATAATTTTTCTTCGACCACATGGAGGATAAATAGCTAATGCTTCCTAGATTAATTGATTTATTTATATATGGAAGATTATATAGAAAAGAATAATATTCTTACATGAAAACTTTGTTCGATATCTGGACTCCAAACTCCTTCACCATCATTATTTTGATCATCATCTAATTCATCAGTTGATGTTGATTCTTCCGATTTAATCGAACAACTTGTTCGATCAAGATCTTTAACAAGTTGTAATGATGTTGGCCAACCAGACGGCATACTGTAAAAAACAAAAAAAAAAAGAAAACTTTAAGTCAATATGAATAAATCATAATAGTGATGATCATCGAGGACAGAATAGATAAAGTAACAACAATCAAGTAAAAAAAAGTTACATCATACACACACACACAAACACAGAAGTTAATTCGATGAGCAAACAAGACATGTTGTTTGTTTCGAGCTTAATAAGAAATGATCTTCGTGTGGCGATGGTCCATCACATGTGGTGGTGGTAGGAACAAATAAATGATTGAAAATACAATGACAAAGAGAATAGATATGATTGCTTTTGTGTGTCTTTACAATTGCGACGCGCGCACACACACACATGTGTCATCAAACGATTTATCAGCATACACATTCACTTACTTACTTGAATCGTGCCGGCTCGATTAGATTGCTAGCGGTCATCATTTTATATGTGTGTAGATTTTTTTATAATATCAAATAATTAACCAAAGACAAACAATAATAAAGGTGTTAAAGAATAGATATATCTGAATAAAAGAAGAAGATTATCTTTGTATTTCGTTTGATGATTTCTAATATTTTTAGCGATGCTACTGTAGTATGTGTATGTACAGTGCTGAATAAACACATATACCAGAGAGAATAAATGTAAGCGAGAGAGAATGTCGAAGACTGTTCGTCTATGCAATGCAATGGATGAAATAGTTCCGCTATCATCCACCCACCAATAGATTCTGTTAACCAATCTCTATACGCTTCTCTTTTTCTCTTTCAGGTATGCAATATTATCTTTTTTCCGACGAATAGAGAGAAAAATTCTCTCTCCTTCTCTCTCCCTCTCTTTTTCTTGCTTGCTCTCTATCAGAGGCGAAAAATGGCTTGAGGGATCGGACAGACAACACACTTCATCTATCATACAAACATAAGAGCACGAGCGAATCTAAATGGCTTTATGAAAGAAAGATGATCAAGTGTAACGAAAAGAAAACCGATATTAAACCGAAACAAAATATTTAATAATATATCGTTAATTAAAACAAATAGAATAAAACCGAAGAAAAAGAAAATAAATAAAACGGTTTACCTTGAAATGATTTTAGTCATTGTGTTTTATGATAAATGTATCGATCTAAAACGAGAAAAAAATTATTGAACAGCTGTCCATAACCATTTCCGTGAGTGAAGTGTGTGCTCGTGCGCGACAATTATATAGAGGAAGATAGTGGACAGTTGGTAGCTCGTTTGTGAGAAAATCACCTGCATACATTTTTCGAAAGAAAACGGATGTCGTCAACGTTCTATTTTTATTCTTCTCATGTTTAATACACAAAAAAGAAATTAAGAAAGATTTTGTTCTGACCTTTTTCTATACAATTTATTTCGAAAATAAAATGTATGTAGATTATAAGTACCACGTTTGATTTTTTTTCTATTTTTTTTCTTCGAAAATAAAACAACACGGATACATGGCATCATGTGATTAAAGAGTATAGTTACATCTGTTTTTTTTGTTCTTGAAGTCGTTCTTTTCTTTCGAATAATATTAATAAACGAGGATGAGTACGTGCTGGTATTATAAAACGAAAAACATGGAATAAAAGTGGATAAATGAGAAGCAATAGATATATATATATATATATTGGATGAAGAAGAAAAAGAGTGATGTCATGGCGAACGAACAAGTCGAAGAGCAACGGAGCGCAAATGATTGATGTTAGATTAGTCAACGATGGCAGGCGACTGATGAACTCAAAAGAAGAGAGAACAGCTTGTTTTCTTGTTATTCTCACATTTGATAGAATTATTAAGACGATGAATGATATATGAACATTCAAATCGATCTTCATATATGTATGTATGTATGTATGCTGAGATCAACAAACAGACACATATATAATGAAGTGTGTATATAAATATTGTACACATATATCTCAATGGAAATCAATTTTAGTTCCGTTTCTATGAAGTCACTTGAATGACCGTGTGAAATTTGATTTTTTCCGTTTGAATATATATATATATACATAGATTGTTTGCTGTTTGTGATGTGCTCATAATCGATCACTTGACAATTGAAATAAACGTGTTGATATTTGTTATTTTAAATTCTTACCTATATATTCTTTCAATGAAATATACCGCAACTCTTCAATGTTTTACTGTATTCTTATTTGAGATATTGATATATTTATTATTATCTTCGCTTATTTGTCACACTTAACCCGCCCTTACCCGAATCAAAAGAGCTTTTTCTCTCTCTCTCTTTTTCATTAAACGATATACCTACGTACATAAGTGTGTAATGAACATTATAAGAAATCTTTATATTCTATGGATCAAACACACAATATATTCAACCGTGAATTTAGTTCACATATGGTTCAAGCCTCTCGGCTATATATTTGTGCGTCAAGCAGTAGCACATGTATCTACTCGAACAAAAAAAAATATTAATGTGAATGTAAAATCAAAGTCACACCAGGTCTATGAGTAATTATAACTAATTAGTAGTCGACGACCGCCCCCTAATATATGTCTATATATTGTAAGAAGAGAACATATGTCTCATGATCTATATACATTTTCTATGACGTCTATGAGTGGATGACATGTACATGAAATCATTGAATTCTCCTATTACTTTTTCTAGTGTCAAACACACGTTTCACAGTATAGAAATGAATGAGTTAAGATACTTGAATTTTTTAATTTTCTATTCAAGAAAAAATAAAAGAACATTTAGAGAGTGAGAGTATAAATTATTGAATTATATGAATAATGATAAAAAAAAACATATTCAAATTATGACTTTTCTTATATTATTATTTTTAAAATTTTAGTTTCTATTTAATGATGCAGCATTAATTAGTTGTTCATTATTGATATTTCTATTGGAATAAATAAGCTTCATTTCATTTTGTTTTTTTTTCCATTGAAATTACATCGATAGCATTTTGTATTCGTTAAATCAACGTTATTTAAATGAGCATTTTAAAAAAATTAGTATTATATATTATAAATTAATTTTACTCTCTCAATTAAATATGACTTGATAGAAGAAATCGAAAACAAGCAATATTTGCTTCTTTACATATTGGAGAATGAAGAGAAAAAAAACTGATGAAAGATTAATTGACATAGATAACAATACATACAATTGCTTCAATTAACAATAAGTGGAGCTACCAATGAAAAATCGTATATAATGAACGAATTCATATAAGTTAGCTGAAGTCATTTTTTTAAAACAATGAAATAAATATATTAATTTGAAAATACTTTCAATCTAATGATTAAATTCAATTTCGTTTAACGATTTTTCTTTACTGCAATAAACTGAGTGCATATTATAAAAATATAAAAAATCGAACAAACTTTACTCATTAGATAACGTACGATGGTTACGTGATAATTTAATAGTTAATCATCCTATATGATATCTCTTGCTTTTAGTATTCATTTCAGTCGTATCTGTCAGTGTTTTATCCAAGTTTCTTTTTTTCGATGTGTGAATCAAAATGTCGAGTGGACACCACTCATCCGCTAGATAAAACACTGAATATCTATTAGTTATTCTTGAGAAAGTCATTTATGATTAATACTCATATTTTGTTGTTTGCTTAAGAATATAAATATAAATATATCAAAATTCTATTTCTATTTTGATATTCATTATTGTGAAATATTCTTTCATTCATTATTACTTATTGTTTTTAAATTGAAAAATGGTCTTTCTTTTGCTTTATACAAATATGATGATCACATATACATAGACAAACACACGACGATAGTGACAACAGATTGGAGATTTTGTTTTTTGCAAAATATGCGGATACATACAGAAATAGTTTTTCAACACTTTTTCGATCTGCTTTTCTCTCCACTCAAACATTCATATCCACACATAAAAAGAAAAGTTGAATAAAAGGAACGAAATGAACAAGAAAAAAAAAGAATGCTCGTCCGTGTGAATGTATACATATATATATGTATATATATGTGTATATGTATGTATTACTCTTCAGCAGAAGAAGAAGAAATCTATCCAGATTGAATAAATCGAGCAAAGATGATGAAAAGAAAAAGAAGACATTTTAGTAGCATGAATAGGAAAAAAAAAAGATAGAATTAATATATTGTAAAAGTTAGATTTGGCCAAGAAGTCGCTCGACTGCTGCATTTACATCACCCATTGTTGCCGTCAATGCTATTCAAAAAAAAAAGATGGAAAACATAGCAAAATTGATTAATTAATAAAACAAATCAATTACCTTGTAAATTTGCTTCACGATTAGTAAAACCCATTGAAACAAGTTGTTCTAGTTGAACAGCATAACGTTGATCTGGTGGTGTATTCTATTTGAGAGGGGAAAAAAAACAGTCAAGAAATAAATAAATTTTATTGAAATTAAAACATACAATATTCTGATTTGACATCATGTTTAACATTTGGGCAAATACACCTGCATAATTACTTGGATCATTTGCACCTGGTGCAGTACCAGGACGTGTTGCTGATGATGGTGCCTGGCCAGTTGTTGAAGAGGTCGATGGAGTAGAAGCTGGATTTGTTGAACCACCAGGAGCTGCTGGTGAAGCTAAACCTGTTGGACCAAACCGAAGACCAGCAGGTAAACCACCACTAAATATAATATATTTATTTATGTTTATTATTTATTAAAATAGTTTTCGTATAAATTTACGCTTGGAAAAGATTAGGTGCTGCTGTATGTAACCGTTGAAGTCCTAAATAAGACAATATTAAATTATTTATATTGAACTTTAAATTATCTAACCTTCTTGAACTTGTGTAATAGCTTCAAGTGCTTCACGATTTTGCATTAATGATTGTACTTCAGGATTTCTCATTTGTTCCATCATAGCTGGTAAGGCATTCATCATTTGTTCACGTAAATCAGGATTATTAGCAAACATTGGATTATTAGCAACCATTTGTCTTGATATATCAGGATTAGAAGCAAGAGAATCCATTAAAGGCTGCATATATGGTGCATTAAGGACACTTTCAAGTAAACGAGGATTTTGAACTAATTGAGACATATAATTTTGCATCATTGGAGATATTAAACCGGGTGAACTACCAGGAGCACCAGTTGGAATAGCTGATGCTGTTTGTTGTTGCTGTTGTTGTTGATCTTGTTGTTGATTATTAGATCCACCGGTTGATTCTTGTTGACGATTAGGTGCAACTGATGCTGATGGACCAGTACCACGAGGTGCCCATGGATTTGGTAGTGGATCAGTACTTTCTGTACGTGATGCAGTTGCATTTTCTAAAGAAGAAAAAAATAAATGGAAACAAATAAAATAAATATCAATAGTACCATTTCCAGCTAACAATTGAGCAAATGGATTATTGCCAAATTGCTCTTGTGCTGCTGAATACATCGGTTCTTGTACATCATGATAAATACGTTGTAAAGCATTAAATCCACCTGGAATGCTCTATTTACAACAGATTTATAGTAACAAAATTAGGAATAAGATTAGAAAAAAATATCTACTTCAAGATTGCTTAAAGCTCGATCATGGTTACGCATAAGTTCTTGTAATGCTGTCGGATTACGAGCATATTCCATTGTTTGCCGAAGTAAATCAGGATTATTTAATAAATGTGATATTTCAGGATTACGCTAAATATATTTTTTTTTATAAAAATTAAAAGAAAATTTTCAATATGAAATAAATTTACCTCCATTAAATCACGCATTTGTGGATTGCTAAGCAATAATGACCGTAGTAAATCTGGATTACTTGTTATACTTTGTACCATAGGACTTTCCATTAATTGACGAAGTTGTGCTGGATTACTCATTATCTATAGAATAAAGAAATTTCAATAGATTACTGACTAATAAAAAATTTATAAAATCTATTTACTTGTTGTTGAAGTTGTTGTTGCATATCATGAAAATTTGTATTAGCAAGATTTAAATTTCCCATACCAGGTGTTTGTCCAAGACCAAATGGAAAGCCACCGAAATTTGCTTGGGCTGGATTTGCCTGATTTGCAGATGCTTGTTGTGTACCTGTGGCAGATGCTATAGGAGTTGCACTTGCAGATGTATTTGCTGTTGCTGTTGTATCTGGCTTTGGTGCTCGAATAACCAAATGAATAGTAACACCATCTTTTATATCTATGAATCATTTACAAAAAAAAAATAACTCTTATGATTCATCATGTCTTTTATTCTCACCATGTTTTTTAATATCTTCATCATCTTTAAGTATTTTACCCGAATAGATAAGACATATTTGATCAAGTGATGTATTAAATTCAGTAGCCACAATGTCTTTTAACTAATATGAAAGAAAAAAATAAATAAAATATTTTTTTTCTAAATTTCGTCTAAAACTAACCTGTCTAACAGTTGAAGATTCATCGATAGATATATCTTTTTTATCTTTTGGTGTTTTTATTGCTAATTTTAATTTTGATGTAGTATTTTCATTTGTATTTGTGTCGGCTTTTGGACTAGCTACAGTTTCAGCACTATTATTTATATCATTATTGCTGGCTGCATTGGTTCCAACATCCATTTGTTCATTGTTATTCTCACTCATTGTTTTGAAATTAAAAGTAAAAAATTCAAATAAAATAATATAGTCTTTTTTTCCTAATATATATATATATTAATGAGAATAATCTAGAATAGAGAGAAAATAATGATTCAAAATTTCTTCTTCCGAAGATACGTTCTATTGAATTCACAAATGATAAGCTGAATCAATAATAAAATAAAAAAAAAAACAAAAGATGTCGTTATTTGTTATTGGTGACAATTTATTGTCGTAGAAAAAGAACAAATCACAACAAAATTCAGACAAAATCTATTTTTACACAAAAAGAAGAAAACCGGTTTTCTTTTTTTTTTCTCCAAGTTAATTTAATTTAACTTAATCGATCTTCACGATCAACTGTAAATGTATCAGGATGTTCTTCATTTGAAAAATTAAGAAAATGTGATGGACGATGAATTTCATGATAAAATTCTTTAGGATTTGATAACATTAAATCATATTTCATATTTGAATCATGACGAACACCCTAAATAAAAAACCAAAAATAAATAAATTTTAATTGAATTGTAATTATTTTACCATAAAGTTATAATTCCATGAGCCTTGTCCTGGTACCATAAAAAATCCTAGGAAACGATCAGACAAAAGCATTTGAACTTTTTCATAATGTGATGGAGCATATCCTATATAAAAAAAGTTTACATATGATTTTATTTTTAATATGTTTCTAATCAAACCTTTTGGATTATTTCCACGATCAGTATTTGATCGACCC